AAAGATCCTGCTACATGGCTCTACATCTTATTTTGGCATTTGACCTAATAGATGAGCCCTTGAATGATGTATTAGCTACTCTAAATGAAGTTGATATAAAAAGTTAAGTCAAGAAAGAAAGGCAACAAGCTAATTGAAAAGTATTAAAGTGAATAAGCCTAGTTAACAATTATATTTAGGTTCATAAACTAAAAAATGTGAGTGCCAGTATCAGAAATAATGCTTCCAAGGTTATGTTGGACCAAAAACATGTGTTTCTTTTACTCTCAGAGTGTTTTTCATTATCAATCAATCAATAAATCAATCTCTTTATTTAGACACAATTATGGTCCACAAACAGACAAAAACAAGAACAATAATAAAAAAGAGAAAAATAAAAATAGAAAATAGAAAATAATCAATCACTGACATATAAACTAAATTGCCAATGATTCCACAAACTGGAGAAGAATCCCTCTGAGCTTTGAACAGGATTGGTCAGAGTCTGAATGATGCTGTTTGCAGAGTCTGTTAATCCACACATACATCTGTGCATAATGTTTCGAAGCACAGCAGCGCAGGTTGGTACATTGACATTTACAAACATCTGACTGGCACTACATCATTGGGGCACCCTAAGCAGCATCCTCATGCCATCATTATAAGCAACCTGAAGTTTATTCATACTGCTTTTCCTGTAACGCCGCCACAGGTGGGCTGTATAAATCGGAGTACAGTATGCTTTAAAAAGTGCAATTTTGACAGATGCTGAGCACACGGAGAACCTCTGAAGAAGAATATTAGCTATATTAATTTCTTATAGAAGTGCTTTTATTTTTTCTCAATATATATTCGGGCAAGTTGGCTTCAAGTTGACGTGTCAAGTTGGTGTTTCTTGTTATTACATTGACATTCATTTTTGCCATCAACATATTTTTACAAAGGTAATAAGGTCTTGTCCTGGATTCCAATAACACTATTGGCTTGAAATTTTGATTTGCAAAGTATTTGTTGATTGCCCTATAAAGGGTTAAATGCTCTTAAGTTGAAAGTGAAAGAATTTGAAGCAGCCTGAATTATCTGTAACTGTTTTACTTGATATGTTTTTTATATACCTGTCATTTAATCAAATGTATCTCTGTTTATTATGTAACTTTGCTGCCTCTTGGCCAGGACTTCCTTGAAAAAGAAGTTTTAAATCTCAGTGGGATTTTTTTCCTGATTAAATAGAAAAAATGAACAGACATGCGACTCATAGACTGCCGACTGTATGTATAAAACTGCTGCTGGTAATGTTGCTTTAGTTTCCAAATAAACACTAGATTTCTTGTTTGCTGCAATATTTAAAATCAGCATGATTTGTACGGACTGCACCTCAGGAGGAAATGATTAGATTAACCTGTAAAATGAAAGCTGATCAGGGTTGTGAGGGTAATATTTTAGGACTCATTTATCAGTTATCTTTGTGTCAATAGTCATAGCTTTCTCCTCTACATTTTCTCGAAACTTTCAAGCATGTTCAGGATTCTAAGACCAGCAAAGCCTCATGTACTGCTTATGCTTTGGGTTGGCCTGTTTGAAATCCAAACCATAACTCCCTGGATAAATGAAGGTTAAATATGTCAAACTGTTGGAAATATTTCTTGGATTTGAAGGAAACTTCTCCTGTCCCAGATTCCCTTCTCTTCCACGTAGGCACTGAGGGACACAAACATTTTCACAGTGAAATTGCTGAAATATAGTTATTTCAATCATCTACTCGTTTGGGGATTTGTTTGCAGCCAAGAGAAGAAGGAAACCTAGAAGCAGCAGTGATTCTGCTGACCTTTAAGAGAATTTACTGCCTGTGTTTCCTCTGAGCTGTAAAGGCAGTGACCTTACTTAATCTCCTCTATTTATGAAGCATGGGTCACTACAGAGGAAGACTGAGTTTAATAAGACCTTACACCAAAATATAGTTTCACATAGATTCACTCTATGCAGGAGTAAAATTGTATTCAGAGCTTATAAAGACATTGAAATGCATAAATGTACAATCACCCACTTGCTCAATTCCAGTTTCATAGCAGGAAAGGATACATTTACGGTAATTTACTTAAACAAGTTATATACACTGGTTCTACTAAACTTATTTTTGTAAATATAAGGAGTATTACATATTTACTTTTGAAATGATAATTAAAGACAAACTAAATTACTAAATTCAGCTGTGAAGTAGGAGGTAAATGGAATACCTGTCAAGGGAGCCACCTCAGCTGACTCCCCTTGATGTGAGGAAGAGGTGGCTCTACTCTGAGCCTCTCCCAGATGACTCAGATCCTCCTCTTGTCTCTAAGCCACCCTGTGGAAAATTAAATTATGTCCGCTTGTATCCTGGATCTGGTTCTTTCAATCATTATGCAGATTTCATGTCCAAAGATGAAGGTAGGACCATAGACCGACACGTTGAGAGCTTTGCTTTTCACTCAGCTCTCTCCTCACAACAGATGGGTGCAGTGTCCGCATTATAGCAGCACTAGAACCAATCAGTCTATCAATCTCCCCTTACTTCTGAACAGGACACTAACATACTTATACTTCACTTAAGGCAGGAACTCTTCTACAACCTGAAGGGAGCAAGCCACCTTTTTCCAGTCGAGAACCAAGGGGTACCAGTTCTTGGCAGAAAGGAGAACCGCGTTATTTGTAAGAAGCAGGGAGTCAGTCTCTCTGCCAGCTCCCAGATCCGCTTCTCTGATTGGTTGATGCGGTGCATCAAGCAGTAAAAGTTCAATTTTTCCAACTCCAGCAGCTGCTGCCTGTGCAGTGCGTCCCGCGCCTCAGATGCTCAGAAGCACATGAGGTGCTGCTTCAGCTGCGTTAAGATGTGCTGCTCTGGACCCACTGCAGGATCTTTTGATGCGCTTCAACTATTATCTTTGCATGTAAACCTGCATCTTCTGCTGCCTCAGCAGCATGCGGTTTGAATGTAGCAGACTGTGACAGTTGCTGCTCATATTGGCAACATGGGCATCTTCTGCAGGCAGGTTACCATTTAGGGCGGCATCTGCATGAGATGAGAGCTGCATGAGATGAGAACCATGTGCACTTTGGAACCCTCATGCATATACATGATATGATCGGCAGAGGCCTGATGTAGATTGGTACCACCACCACACACTCCTCCTTCCTTTGTCTTCTCACACACACCTAACTGAGCTGGAGTGGTTTACATGAAGGAGCAGTTACTCTAAAGATGGATTCACATAAGAGAAGCTCTCAGGAGCCCCAAACGGAAACAAAAGAGGGAGAAGCAGGATGTTTCCACGATAAAAGGCATCTTCTCCAAGTGGCTAAAAGAATTATGGACGCTGGAGCTTCTGGTGGGGGCTTCTATACATCAAAATTAGCTTAAACTATTATAAGTAACTTACTTTGGTCTTTTAACGGTGTAGAAATATTTACAATAGAAAGAAACTGTAAAAATAAAAAATAAAGTTTATTTAATAGGCAATTATCAAAGAATGACACAGCCAAATGTAGGACTGATCAATTAATTACAGGGGAAAAAAAACTCTTATTTTGAAATACTAGTGCTACATATCAGAGTGCTGTTGTGATGTATCATTTAAGTCTAATTAGATGCAGTGTCCAATCCATTAAAATAAAAATTTGCATTCAATTTCCATCTTTTTATATGTGGTTTTGTTGCTGTAGTTTTAAAAACATACATGCAGCCGAGAATTTTGTAAATGAATTCCTTATGGGACCACATTGCATTTCATAATGTCATCATTCTGATAGTGACCAGAATGTATTCAGAATGCTATATTTAACTAAGTTTATGTCATTCAGGAGCAAAAACTGAGAGGGGAAGAACAAAGAGAAGAACGATAAACAGGCTAAGGTAACGGGGTTGTCTAAGGCTACGTTCATACTTAATGCTCGATTCCGCTTTTTACCATTAACATTCCCAAATATTTTCAACTTCTTTGTGATCTCCTGTGTGAACTGCTTTCATACAGCTTAAGCATGCGCAGTAGAGGACGCAGTGACGTCACAAGCAAGCATGCTCTGTGTTTACAGAAGTAAACATGGATGGTAGTGCTGGAGCGCATCTAACGATCTTACCTAACCATATAAACACAATATTTTCAATATGGTTAAACATAAATACTGCTCTGCGGATCATCGTCCGCCATGGTTGTTTTTCTTGCCGCTTCTGCATAGCAAGACGCAGAATAGTGACCTTTGTTGGGTATTAATGGTGTACACGTCGGATAAAAACCACCTGGTCGTTCAGAAACAGGTCGCTTTTGAAAATATCTGATTCGTATCGGATTCAGGACCACATAGCCAAGCGGCCTGGGTTGCATAGGAAAAAATCTGATCTGTGTTGTTCAGACAGGCATGAAAAGATCAGATACAAGTCACATATGGGCAGAAAGAAATTGGGTCACTTCAGGCTGTTGTGTGAACGTAGCCTAAAAGTAGGGGGGTAGTTTGCTCAAGGCACCAAATGGGCAAGGACCGCCCCTGCACTTAGACATTTAGTCCAGTTTTGGGGAAAGGTTGCATTTCTTTTCTGACAGGGTTAACCAGACAGCAACACTTCTGGGAGGAATTAGATCAGAGTCCAGACCCTCCTGACAACATCCGTGTCTTACTGCAACAACAAATTCCTTGAAGGGTAAACATTCCCATTAACAGCCTTTTAAACCTTATGGAAGCCATTAGAAACTGACAACTAACGGTGGGTAGATTCCATTCAAAAGCCTTTGAATTTAAAATAAGCTGTGATTAAGTCATACTGCGTGTTACCTAACAGAGTACGAGCGTATATGTACATTAAAGGATGCACTCAGATTTAGATGTTTAAAACATTTTAAGTTATATATTGAAGGATTTAATAAGTAGGATTTCTTTAAAATAAATTAACTTTTAATGAAAGTAAATTTAATGCAGTGTATGCATTATTTTTATGGTTCATAGTAAACACAACATGCAGGACAGAACTGTATTGCTAATTTTCATTTTATTATAAAAAAAAAAAAAAAAAAAAACAGTATTTGAGTCCACAGTTTGTTTCATTTGTACAGTAAAAAATATTAAATTAACTCCCAACGTTCTGAGCAGAAAGATAAAGAGGATACAGTTTCTAAGGAGGGAGCTTGACCTCCCACAGAGGAGGATAAAAAGTCCAAAGGAAGCAGCAAAAGGGACGAGGAAGAAAGAGACTAACCGCTCGTGTGGCCGTCTTTCGCCTCATTTCTGTGCAACACAGTTCATTTGGATCATCCTCTGTTTACTCAACAGCAGAATCCTAAAAACAAAAAAAGCCACCCTTCCCCTTTTTTTATACACCCTCAGCCCACATGTGAAACGTTACAGGCACAAAGGTATGCATACCCCCCTCCCCAAGCCTCCGCAGCTCCATATGAAGTCTTAAAAAGGAAGGAGTGGGCACACATTCGAGGGAGAGGGCTTGCACTTTTGCGAGGGGGAACAGTCCCTTCCAGCCTGACTGACGGACTGAGCAGACCCTCGCCCGTCGCGACAAAACACTGACGTCGTTCCCATCTGGACACCCCCCGACTGAGGACGACTAAAGCAATATATAAACTAACAAATATAGACTTCTACAGGAAACCAAAGTGGTCGCAGTGAGTCCATAATCAACCCCCCTGATGAAGCTGAATAAATAAACCAAGCCCAAATGATACAAAAAAATAAAAAAAATATGCGCATTGTTTGAATTTACACCAATAACTCACATCACTCTGAAAAATGTTTGAATGATGCAATACAAACAAAAACAACTGCAGTAAACCACTTCTTTAACCCCCAACCCCCTTTTAAAATTGTAAAAACATATCTTTAAAAAAGGCAAGTACTGTTGTTTACCTGGGAAGCCCCCCCCCCTGTCCTCAGTTGGCAAAAATATATATTAACAGCAATAAGTTACAATTCATTCTAATTCATTTAACAACTGCTCCATTTATTGTTCATCTCCCATAGGAAGTTCAGTTCAATGCATCTTTATTGAAAACATTTTAAATAAGTTTTTAATAGTAAAAAAAGGCTGAAGAATAAACAATAACACTGTCCGCGGTGAGTGCAGTTTGTGCAGAAATCCACTGAGCCTTCCCTCAGCTCCTACATGTGGTCTAAGGAGTTATGGTTCATGTTCTGGCCCATTGAGTCCGGGCCGCTGCTTCCTGGCCCGTGCAGCCCAGCCATGCCGCTCAGCTGAGAGAGCATGGCGTTCTGCTCAGAACCGTACTGCTCCATAACGCTTTGCTGCTGCTGCTGGTTTGTCTGCTGCTGTTGCTGGACCACCATTCCTGGATGGTGCTGGTTTAGGTGGCCTGGGTGCGGGGAGCCCGTCTGCACCTGCGGGGAGATGTGATGTGGCGACGGCTGCGGCTGCATGCGTGGAGACGGGCTGGAGTGAGGAGGCTGGGACTGAGGTCTGGGCGAGGGCTGCGGTGAACGCACCTGGTTGGCAAGCGACGTTGGCAGGGCTTGGCCCTGCAAATGGGGGTGTGGGGACTGGGCCATCTGCTGAGCCTGCTGAGGGCTCATTGGGTTGCTGTGTTGGGCCGGTGACCCACCTGGACCGCGGTGTTGCTGCTGATGGAGCAACCTTTGCTGCAGAGCTTGATGGAACAGGGGCTGGTTAGATGGAGGAGTGGGACCTCCTTGGGTGGGCTGTGGGCCTTGAACTTGCTGCTGAGGAACACCTCCACCGCCTCCGCCTGGCACTCCATCAGCGTTCTGAAGGGCAGCCATGTTGTTTTGCTGCTGCTGCATCTGAAGCTGGTGCTGCAGCCTCTGCTGTTGGACGGAGCTTGGGTAGCCCTGCGCCTGCTGAGCTGGGGGGCCTCCAGGAGGACCCTGCCCCACCACAGGCTGCCCCATGAATCCCTGCCCCTGAGGAGGCTGCGGCTGCTGGAACTGACCATGATTCATTCCCATCTGCTGCTGTTGTTGCAGCTGTTGCTGCAGCTGTTGCTGCTGCAGCTGTTGTTGCTGCTGTTGCTGCAACTGTTGCTGCTGCAACTGTTGTTGCTGCTGTTGCTGCAACTGTTGCTGCTGCAAC